GCTGGTGCTGAGTAGGTTTGAGTTGCTGTGCGATAGGTGTCAGGCGGCCAAGGGGAGTGCCCCGGGAAATACTGTGTCCCGTCAGGCAGCTATGGGATGGGCTTGGGCAAATTGTGTGTTCAGTCAGGCAAGCAAGGGATGTGCACAGGGAAACACTGTGTCCCATCAGGCAGCCAGGGGATGTTTACAGGGAAGCACTGTCCACTCAGGCAGCCATGGGAAAACACCCTGTCCCATGGGGCAGCCGAGGGATGCACACAGCAAACATGTCCTGTCAGGAGCCACTCGCAGTGAGACAGGCTCTGTTCTCCTGTGGATTTGCTCCTTTGGTTGGTTTGGGGCTGTGGGTGCTGCTACTCCCCCACGCAGCCTTGGCTGGTGCCAGCAGAAAGTGAGCCCTCCCCGTGGCCTCTCCCACGCTGGGAGCACCTGGAATGTCTCTTGTCAAGCCTGTGCTGTCTATTTTCATAAACCTGCCAGGAGTTAGTGTCTGCAGGACTCTGCCAAATTGTCTGCTGATTTGACAGAGGGTCAGACGGGCCCTGTGGAATGGTATTTCTGCAGGACACGCTGCACTTAGAAAGGTGTGCTTCGTGCTGGAGTGATCCATTTTGATTTATTTATGTGCACTATTACCAATTAGGAGGCTGTAACACCAAAACACGTTCCCCATCGAGTGCCAGGAGTGACAGTCACTCAGAGCAGCCTGTGCTCCATCAGGTGTGTCTCAGTTTATTGCTCCACATTACTCCAGGTATGAAGTGATGTTATAAGCAGGGAATGTAAAGCTATATAACTCACAACCTCTCAGGCCCCAATTTTGCAGTGCCATATAAATGTGTGTAATTTTAAGTACTATCAATGCTTCCACTGACCTCAGTGGGACTACTTAAAGTGCTCTAAGTTAAGCACAAATACACTTCTTCAGGGTAAGAGCCAAGGATGACTCATGCAAGCATATGCATCACAGATTTTTATCTTTCCACTGCTATTTGTTGTTACAACTTATGGTTTAATAAAGGTTAAATGTGTCGAGCTCAATTTTGGGTTCAGTTGTGAAACAGCCAGTTTATATTCTGCACATTTCATCTTGCTTGAGCTTAACACTTCCTTGAAGAATTGTGGTGTTGGCACTGATCACACTTTATCCTTTTTGGGTCCTTTTTCAGCTCCAGCAGCTGTTTTGCATAAGTCTGATGGTTGAAGAATATGGATTTTGAAAATCATTTTATTGTTCCCAGCACTCAGCAGTGAGAGATCATTGTCTGCTTAGCAGTAATGGCTTTTCCAAAAGACAAACAATTTCTAATAAATCAGACCTCGAAGAATTTAATAGTAAAATTAAATGACCCATCACCAGTGGTTTATACATTATGCAGGCTCAGTGCAAGTACAGTGGAGAGCATATGCAATTACTGAAGATAATTATTCTTATGAGGGAAAATGTTGCTGAGTATTTCTTGTGTTGAATAATTGAGTGAAGTTCCTAATGTCATTTTAGGAGGAGCATCACAGGCACTTGGAAATCCAACAATTTAAATTTGATAATTTAAAATTACAATAACAGAGGCAAAGTACAGGAGGCACTGGAATTATTCTCTAATAAATCTGAAGTATCAGTTGGGAGGTTTTTGTTTTAGGAGGCTGTGAGTTATTACGTGACTGAAGATGAGGGTTTGTCTTTGCTGCAGAACTCTCATCAGCTGGAACTGCATCAGATGCTGTGAACTCAAGTCTGATGCATACAAAAGCTATTAAGTGCAGTGGCATTTTTAGCTGAAGGCAGCTGGGTTGGGGGGTGATGCAAGCTGAAGGTGGTGACCACAGTGCCTCACTTGCCACCACAAGCTGTGACTCCCCAACAGCAGCTCCTGCAATCCAAACTACTAACAGTGCACAGCCTGCCTTTGAGGAATCTGCACAAGGTTACCAGAATAAGCAGCTCAGTTGTCAGCAGCCCTCTGAAGGCTCTGAAACACTCTGAAATTACTGAGGGTCTAAAAAAGGAAGGTTAAACCCAGTCCTTCCAACAGAAGAATTGTTGTTGGTCAACAGCAACAGCTCCCTGTTGATCAGCTCAAAGTACAGGGTTGTTTTCAGGCCTGTGCCCAGGCTGTGTCTGGGATGCTCTTCTCCAGAGGCAGCAGGACTCAGTAGCACTTTCCCTAAAGTGTAGCTGGTGAAAAAGAGGAATGAAAGAGGCCTTGGTACTGATTTTAACTGTTTAGCTGTGAGAAAGTAGCTTCTCCAGCACAATGCTATAATTGAGTTCTCAGCACTGGTCTCATCTTAATTGAAAGGACAAGAGGCATGATAGAAAACAGAGTGGGGCCAATGGTTGGAAAAAAAAAGAGGGCAGATGAAGGGATTGCTGTTTACAGAGGAACAAGTAGAGAGCCTGTTTTCCAGTTTCTCTTTGCAGGACTGGGAGGGTGAGTTGCTTAGTCAAGCTTGAAGGAGAGTTGGACACAGCTGTCTTCTTTGCTTTCTTTGTTTAACTGGTTTTGGCAACAGCTGCAACAGAATTGGAAGTGGGTCAGATCATACATTTCTCATCAGATGTCAAATCTGAAATCTGGTTTGACCTTTGACAAATTAACTGAAAAAAAGATCCTAGTCTGGATAGTAACTTATCAGCAGATTTTCCCCTTCTTGAATATGCTTAGTTTGTCTCTGATGAGAGACAACTAATAGAAATCACCTGGGTTTATGTATATTACATTATTTTTCATACATGCTTTAGGCATTGTTAACTAGTGATTCTGGAAGGATGAGAAGTGTCTTCGTTATTTATTAAGAAAATGTGTTCCTTTGTGTTGTGCTACTCATGAAATTCTATTCGACCAGCATCTGTTATGGGTGGAAGAAAAGATGACAAATTTGAAGTCACAGTCAATGGTACGAAGTGACATGTTCATTAGGATAACATTTAGGCTTGTGGCTTCTGTACTTTGTAAATTGTTTTTTAGGGCTCTGGAGCAGTCTAGATGGAATCATAACTTCAGGGAACACATATTGGATGAGAAATTTTCTTGAGTCAGACTTCCAGGAAAATTGATTGCAGATTTTCTCTTATCAGTGTCATCTCATTTTGTTACAGGTTGGTTTCATTCTGGCTTGTACAAAAAGGAAAATCCTTGTGTGCAAAAGAACCATAAAATTAAAGGCTGTATCCAAACATCTTAAAATATCTTTTGTGCACATTAATTTGAAGAATGTGTGTCCCTAGACAAAACAGTTTTTCGAATTGCTGTGAAGTATGGGTAGAGAAGATGATGAGCAAGATATGAGATGTAGCTGCATAAAGTGAAAGATTTGCAACAGGAGCTCATTGTAAAACAAACAAGAATAAAAAGAGGCAAACTTAGAAAATGCAGCAGCAAGGGGGATTCCAAAAAAAGGAAGTATGTTTAGCCATCAGTGTCCTGATGTGCAGAAAGGACAGACTTCCTCTCTGTGGCTGTAAGTAACTGCTAAAACACAAGAAACTATAAGCATATTGTCTAGTGTTTAGGCATCTAAGAGGGATTGTGCCTCTAAAATCAAGGAAGTAGATGTATAAATGCTAAAAATCAGATGTGGATGTGTGCTTAGGGTTTTTTTTCTGAATGGTAAATGGAAGATTTGCTTTAGAAACCCAGGGCTTAAAAGCACTTTGCTATTGGTGGGGAGGGAGGCAGAAATTACATCCTCTTTCTCGCTTTTCTTCCTCTATTAAGAAAGCACTTTTTCTCTGTTAACAAATGCAGAATCCACTTCTAAAGATAATTATGCATTTTGAGTAGTCTGAACAATTTGTTCCTTTTTTTTTTAAAACCTTTTTCCCCTTAATGATTATTGTTCCTGAGATTATGTATTTGGTTGGGAAGATGAACATCTAGTGGACTGGAGGTTGTGCTAATGCCTTCTTACCCTCCTTTCATTACTGTGCTCTGAGCAAAGCTCTGATTTGGAACCTCTCAGCTGACAGTTTATATTATGCTAATCGAAATCTGTTTACTGGAAATGAAATTTGAATGTGCTGTAAGCTTGCTGTCATTAATAAACTTGCTTTTTCTGTTTTATTTCAGTTGGACTTCCAGTCCTGATGGTCTTAAAAGTGCATTTGGATCCAAGACGTTTTCCATCACTGAACAAATCAAGAGCCTCCTCTCTTATCTCAGAGCAGCACAGACAGATTAATATCATATGACCTCATTTCTCCAAATTAAATGAAAAAGGAATTTTCAATAGCTTTCCATGAAGCTCAGCTATTGCCTGCTAATTCTGACTGTTAGTGCTGATCTTTCAGTTGGATTCACAGTGGAAAATGTAGCTTTTAACAGGACAGTTGCTTTTGGGTCTCTCAATGCATCACTTCATGCAGTGTCTCATACTTCCATAAGTTCTTCAGCACACCATGATATCATAGCCAAAGAGGGGACCAGTGTTTTAATTGAATGTAAACTGAACACCAGCCAGTATGAACATATCCTTTGGTATAACTCCAGAGGACACCTGCTTGAACATGAAGGTGAGTTTTCCTGCTGTTTTCTACCTTTCTACCCCTTTCCTACAATATCTGAAAACCTCTGGGACTTTGTTATCATTTTCTCTTCCTATCCTCACATTTTTACAGTCGGGAGATAAGGACAGAACAGGACAAAGCCCTTTGCCCTCTGACGTGTGGCTTGTGAATTGTACCTGAGTTCTGTCCCAGCCCATCCACCCTGCTCTGGTGCCCCACAGCATCATGTTGTTCAAGAGGCATCGCAGAATTCAGTACATCTTACCAGATACCAACTGATGTTTTCATTTGTTGCTGCTCTGGTTTAGATTATATTTTTCCAAACACATGAATTAAACACAGTTCTCCACAACTTGTGACCTTTTCCAGATGGCAATCAGTGCTTTAATTTTGTTGCAGGATATTTTAAAGCGTGGTAACTTAGTACATTTATTTTCTGGTTTATGCACCAGTGAGACTGTGGGAAGCAACACAATATGTCGTGACCCAATGATGAAATAAGTGTTGTTAAACCCTTTTGTACTGAGGGGGATATATTTTCCTAGGCATTGGCTCTTACAGTTCTGCCCCTCTAGTTTTTAATTAAAAAAAAGCCTTTTAGAGATGCATGTGATTTTCTCTATTAGTATTAATGAAGGTCATCAAACTAATTGACAGGATCTTGTTGGAGGCCATTTCTCTCTGCCTTAAGATTTTGGTAACCTTTTTGTAGCTATGGTGCCATCTGGATATTAGTTCAGAGTAGAGTAATTAGAAGAGTAAGTTATGAAAACAGTTCAAAGTGGAGTAATTAGAAGAATGAGTTATGAAAACAGTTTTCCCCCTAAGTCATGAACACACAGCGAACGCTGTGTAAAGCTTCTTGTATTGATTTCTTTTTCCTTGGGTTTTGTGTGTCAGCACTGCATGCTCAGCAGAAAAGTGTGTCTCAAGAAAATCCTGGGTCCTTCAGCCAGCAGAGCTATTTACAGACTGATCTTTTTCATGGGTCACTCGACTTTTGACTCTGAACATATGGAAAATTAGACTTTATCGAGGATAGTCTTTTAACATGGTGTTACACAGAGGGTGAGAAGCCCTAGTTAAGAATTAGGATCCCTGTCAGGAAGAGCTAGCAGTCCAGAATCACACAAAAAAGTGCAGATGAGAGAAGGAAGTAAAACCAGTGTAGCCAGCATGCAGATTAATTAACCCTTAAGCAGTAGGATTGGTAAATGGGTTGTGGCTTTCTGCATTACAGGCATGAGGTGGTTATTTCAGTCCTGGGTGTCCTCTTGGCATTGTGCTAGAAGTGTACTGCTGACTGCCAAACTCCTGTTGACAGAGTGAACAGCACATGTCTAGTTTACCCAGTAATTCTTGTTTCATGAGCTTAGTTTATTTCTTCCAATCTCCAGGTGACCGGTGGAGGATTGCTGACAATTCTCTTAACATCACAAAGGTCAACTTTGCTGACCGGGGCCGATACACGTGTGCAGGCATCAGTCCTAACGAGACCTTGTACTACACAGTCACCCTGAGGGTTATCTTCACCTCAGGAGACATGAGTATCTACTACATGATTGTGTGCCTCGTTGCCTTTGCTATCACCCTGATTTTAAACATAACCCGTCTGTGCATGATGAGCAGTCACCTCCGCAAAACAGAGAAGGCTATCAATGAGTTCTTCAGGACGGAAGGGGCCGAGAAGCTTCAGAAAGCTTTTGAGATAGCCAAGCGGATCCCTATCATCACATCAGCCAAAACCCTAGAGCTGGCCAAAGTCACTCAGTTCAAGACCATGGAGTTTGCTCGGTACATTGAAGAGCTTGCCAGAAGCATTCCCCTTCCACCCCTGATCCTTAACTGCAGGGCGTTCATGGAGGAGATCTTCGAGGCCGTGCGAGTCGACGATCCCGACGACGTCGGGAAGGAGGACAAACAGTGCCAAGGCTGCGGTGCCCAAGCTGCCATATACCCCCTGAACCCCGAGCTGACGCGCAGCGATTCCCCGGCCGGGGACTCGGACGATGGGTCCGTGAGTGAGCAGGGCCAGGAGATTGCTGTGCAGGTGTCCATCCACCCGCAGAGCGCAGCGCAGAGCATCGACACCGTGTCTCACGACAGCTGCCAGTTTGTGCCTTCTGAGGAGGGCACCTGCTGAGTCCAGTGAGCTGTGCTGGTGAGGGAAGCTCGGGTGACCCAAGGATACTGTGAGAACGTGGTCTGCAAACAAGCTGCCTCAGTCCCATGTGCACAAGAGTTTTCCAAATTGCAAGATGCCAGAACTGCTTCTGAAATTTGTATTTTCTGTCAGTGGTGATCTAACGATTTCAGTCTGTTAGAAAAGGCCGTTTGGAATCCTGTGCAGTGGCTTTTCTTATCAAAGCAGGTCTGCCATTCTTAAAATATTTACAACATGAGAATTCTTTGTCCTTGGCTCCTTGGTGGCTTCTGATCTGTGTTAGAAATGGCCAAGCCAAGCAGCATAACTTGGAATAAGATCTTTTCCTTCATGAACTCTTTCTTCCAGAGTCAAGCCGAAATTCCTTCGAGTCAGTGTTGTTGTCCTGATGAATTGAGTTGTGTGCTCTTTTTGAGTTGCCTCTTGGTGAGTAGCCCATCAGAACCATGGTGAGCTTGAGCAAATCTGGTTTGTGTCGTGTGCTTCTGTGTTGCTATCAAAATGTACTGTACTTAGGAAAAGAATAGTACCAGGATCTGCTGCTGAATTAAACAAATTGTAGTTTCAAAGCAGCTTAGAGGACAACCAGGGGGTCTCAGTTTTTCCATGCACCTGCAGAAAACTCCTGTGTGCTCTAAAAGCTTCTTGCTTAAACTTGGTGCTGATTGCCAAAGCGCCTTACCCTGGTTGTGTCCCACAGAATGGAGCAGCAACAGCACTGCCAGCACTCGCTGCCTTTTGACTTTGCTGATTTCACTCACTGTAGAAAATCCAAAGTTTTATCTTGTATTTGACATAGTTGTGAGAGAAGAATGACAGTAGTGGCATAACTAAGAAACGAACTCATCTACAGACAGGTGTCTCAGGCACTTCTTTCTGCACAGCATTGTAGTAAAGCAGGTGAAAAGCAGTGACACTCGCTCTGCTCTGGCTAGTGCTTTCAGAAGGCAGTGGCAGAGAGAGGAAGGGCTGAGCTCTTTGCCAGCCACTGTTTACAGGGTGGAGGAACTCACTGGTGGATCCCAGCCTGGTCTGATGAAGAGGGATGGCAGAAGGGAGAGGTGCAGGTGCTGACATACACACACACACACAAGGACTTCACCAAGGATCTCCCACGTGGCTTCCTTAGCTGTAGAGATTCCTCCAGGAATCAGAGTGCAAACAAGAATCTACTTTCTTCTTTCACTCTTTGGTGCTGATTTTTTTTTCCTCCATAACATTTTGAAGTTGTATCGCTTAAATAGCATTTTATATCCTGTTGAGATTTAGTAGATGTAAAGCTTGTAAGCACTCCACAAATTAATTTCTTACAACTTCTGGAAGCATATTGCCATATAATTTTAACAACTTGGCAACAGGAGCACCGTTTAATTTCCCACAACTCTTTTTTTTTTCTTTCCTTATTATTACAGAAATGTCAGTTGAACAAGTGATTCTGGATGGCTGCTCAGGATTCTTAAGAGGATTTGACATTACATTTCCAAGAGTAGAGGTGGAAAACAAACAGGCACAGTGGTGATACCAGGGTGGGGCCACCTGTGGTAATGCAAGCTGAGAACAAAGGGGCTGAAGGAATTATAGTCATGTCATATCAGAGAGGGGGAAATCACAGCAGCTATTACATTTTAAACTACCTTCTGGGGAAATTCCTGCAGTCAGCCACCAGTAAATGCACCCTAGTTGCCTGTGTCAGGAAGGAAGGAAATTGCTAGCCTTGGTTATAGTAGCATTCCCACCAGCTTGGTGCCATTTCCCAGATTGTAGCAAACTTCATGGGAATAAAGCCTTCTGTAGACACTTAAGAGTAGCTACTGCCCTCAACAGTAATTTTTTTGCTTCCATAGTTTGATGGCACTTTATGTCCAGGTGAAAAGTTTGTAGAGTTTTGTGTAACCTATCTGATTTCCTTGAAGTTTTTTTTTTGAGGTGAACAGTGTTAAAAGATACTCTGTGGATAAATACCTAGTTCTCCAAGAAGCCCTGCTAAGGTGCTGCTGCCTTCACTTCTGGACTACAGCAATTTCTGCAGGTTTGTTGCATGTGTGTGAGTGGAGATTTGGGGGTTTGCACCCTTTAGGATGTGCTAGTCGAAAGAGGTGAAGGCAACAAGAGAATGATTTGTTTCAATCTCCTTTGTGCCAGCAGAATTGTACCTGCCCCTGCCTTATTTCCTCCTAAACTGCTCTCCTGGCTTCTGTGAAACTGTTACATGGCATGCAGCAGTAGCATGTGGGACATATAACCCCAAACTCCACATGCAATGAGAGAATTTTGCACTACAAAATCTAAGCTCCATTTAATTGCTTCCTAAGAAGCAGATATGATTGACAGATGTCTCATCAGAACTGGCAGCTTAGAGGCAGCAGGATAATGCTGGAGGTGTGTCAGATGGGTGTCAGGAGAGCAGTTTCTAGATTAATTTGATCTGTTCTTTGATTTTTATACTTTATTTACATAGCTCTGAGTTCTTACCAAGCACATTTCCCTGGTGTCTTTGTGTCCTGTTGCTGATGGAGAAGAAAAGAATGACCATGCATAAAGGTCCTCAAAAATGCAGTTGCACTGGCAATTGCTGGATAGCAAAGCTAAGAGTTTCCCTGAATTATTGCAGTATTTTGTTAAATTAATTTCATTCCTGGGAAGGAGGTTATTTTGTAAGGATTTCACTTTATCAGGAGTACTTACTAAATGTAGGAACTGATCCTACTCCCACTGAATTCAATTAGAGCTGATTTGGAGCTCTGGTGTATTTTACAGGATTTTTATGCAGCTGAAAATAAGGATGATGGTGATGTTAGACACTAAAAGTGATTTCCAGAGGATGAAATCTGACACTGGTTTCCAAACAGCTTGTGAACTACTCTTGTTATCCTGAGAGTAGATATGTGCACTTAAATTTCCTTCATGAATCTAATCGTGCATTAACACTGCAAGTGTTTCTCTCTTAACTTTTTGTAGGACCAGGAGAGTTTACAGTGGTTTCCTTGCTTTAATCTAAAGTCTTTGACAATCACAAGGCTATTTTATCTTTTCTTTGTGACTTACTTTTCTTTTGAGTAATGTTAAATCTACTTGTTATCCAAGAGTACCTAAAACTAACTTTGTAGTGATGATTTGTATTACCTGGATTGTAATGTAGCTGTTTAATGTAGCCACATAGGATTTCATACTTTCATAAAATGAATTGGTAGATTTGCAAAATAAAAAATAAAAAGAAAAACCTTGTTTCGGTGGAGTTTTCTGTTTTACAGGTAAGGAGTGCCTGTCTCACAGATTTCAGCTGTTGTTAGCCAACCTGACAAAGGTTGCTTTTTTTTTTTCCTGCTGGGACATCTTTGGGTCTGTCATTTTTTTTATGTCTCAAAGTCCACAACAATATCTGTAATAATTGTTCCCAGCTGCATAAACAAACAGTTACAGACCTGAAATGGTTTCAGGAAGGTCCATGTGTTCTCCTTGCTTTCACATCATGAAGTGCAGTGACCTTCAGCCACAAACCTGTGTTGCCTGGTCCTGCCTTTTTCACGTTGTTGTACAATTCTATATTGTAAGCACCTCTCTTTTTTAATCCTCCTCAAAGCTCAGTACATCTGGGGACAACTGATCTCCTAACAGGAAACACAGCACAAATGTGGAGTATCGAAAGCCTTCAACTGTCTTTCCAGTGAGTTGCTGAGATGGTATAAAGAAATTTCCACCACTGCACTAAGGGAATCATGGGGCTGATTTCCCTCTGCATCCCTGGAGCTGAAGGAGATGTAGGTCTGACTTTGCCCTGGCTTGTAGTGCATTAAATGACACAGGGAGGGAGTAACATCCCCTGGAGTGCTGTGTTAAACATGCTGAGAGTGGGAGGGGGCATCCCATTGCATTTTGGTGACTAGGCTTGTGTTCCTGATTCCTTTGCAATCGATTCAGGGTATTAAACTCTGCCAGGGGACGATCCCAAGCCCCTAAGCAAGGCACTCACCTCTCCCCACTGGTTCCACTGGGAAGCTATTTCCCACGTGAGTGCCTGATGCTGCCTGATAATGGATAATGGATGTCTTGTGTGGGGGCATGTCCTGCAGCTCAGAGCCAGCCTGGAGCACAGAGTGCTCTTGGTTAAGTTTAAACTGCATCCCCCCCAGCCCAAACACCAAAAATCCAGCTGGCTGAGAAACCCTGTGTAACACAGTCAGTGAGGCTGTGCAAGTGTGAACAAGAGCAGACTTCACCCACATTGTTTTGAAAGAATAGTCTCTAGTTGCCAGTCTCTGCACAAGGCAGATAATGGAATTAAAGCTTAATCTTGGGGATTTTCCCATGAGAATCAGCTGCTTAAAGGAAGAATTATTGGACCCATACTCCTCAGGCTAGGTCAATATTCAGTCAGCATCTGCTTTCTATCTCCTTGTTATGAGAGATGCTTGAATGATAACGGTTCAGTTTTTTAAACCTCCTGTAACCTGACCCTCATGATCCTATCCACAGTGAACAAATTCATCTGCATCCATTTAAAGCACTTTTCCATCTGGTAACAACAAGATCATTGAAAAGGAAGCTGCATTAAGGATGATTGTCCTTTAATTTTCTGTGAACACCTTAAAAAACCACATTTTTTCCTTAATGTTGCAGCACTTTTCTGAGTCAAGTCTTCTGCCAGAGACATACAGTAGAGACACCACAGTGTCATTCCACTCAGGCAAGTTGCAGCTTTATCAACTTCCATTCAGGCAGGTCATTTCACACCAGCTGGGGCTCACTCCTCTTCTCTTTTTATGATTGTGTAGCAGCTCATTCAGATATCTCCAAATACTGCCAGCCTTTTTGCATGTGGAAGAGAGAATTGCACCATCAGTCCAAGAAAATTTATCTTTTTAGATGTTCAAATACCAAAAAAGCCCCAAAAGCTGGAAAGTTGTGCTTTATCCCTGGTAAGAGGGTGTCTATTCTTTGGTCACGCCTGGCTGCCAATGAGCGTAATAATACCAAGCAAT